CCCCTGCTCAAGCAGGAGAACCTATACTATTTCAGATAAGTGGCTGTCTAGTTTCTTCTTAAAATCCTCCAGTGATGGAGTGCCCACAATTTCTGAAGGCAAGCTAGTCCATGGGTTAATTGTCCTCTCTGTTAGGAAGTTTCTCCTCAATTCCAATTTGCTTCTCTCTTTGGTTAGTTTCCAACCATTGTTTCTTGTTCTACCCTCTGGTGCTTTGTAGAATAATCTTCTTCGTGGCAGCCCCTCGAATACTGGAATACTGCTATCGTGTTGCCCCTAATTCTTCTTTTCTTTGGATGAGTCAAACCCAAATCTTGCAGCCGTTCTTCATATATTTTAGTCTCCAGGCCTTTGATCATCTTACTTGCTCTTCCCTGAACATTTTCCAAGGTCTCAATATCCTTTTTATAGTATGGTGACCAAAATTGGTTGCAATATTCCAGGTGTGGTCTTACTAGAGTTTTATAAAGCGATACTAATATTTCACATGATCTTGATCCTATGCCTCTGTTTATACAACCCTGGATTGTATTAGCTTATCTTCCCTCCATCTTTTAGGAGAGTCCCCAATAAATCCCAAACTGCCTCAATACCTGATTGAACCTAATTTGAAAGTCTGTGGACTTCTTTCCAGTCCATCTCAAGGCTGGAAATTAAATGCAGACTCCATGGCTTAAGCACCAGTCACTTTTCCTATGTCCCTCTTTCTTTTCTTTGTCTTTTTTTTCTCCCTGAAAAGTTCTGAAGAGTAATTTGAAAATTGCGTGCAATTTTGTGACCCTTTCTCAGAAAATGACATTTTGTGTAAGGATAATGCCTAATACAGTTCTCAGAAAGGGTTTAACCAAGGGCAATATCTGATGCTGTGCTTGCTTATGTGTTTCTTCTCCGCATGAGGAAGTAAAGAATCTGTTTCAAAGATCTGCCATCTTCTTACAATCCCAATTATCTTGAATATTTTCCTTTTTTTCTGAGCTGTATAGTATTTATATTAACTAAGCGAGTTATTATTTCTCTGGTGTCTGCCATGCTAGCTTCAAGCTGAAACTGACTTTGTTGTAGTTTGTTATGCATCTGGCTTTTGCCTGAGGTAAACTCCCTGCAAGCTTCCTTCCTTCCTCTTCCTGCTGGCTTGAGAAACCATAGTTATGTGACACCATTCAGCTGAAGTCATCTCTTCCTGCCACAATAATTCCGTCCCCAAGCCAATTGTGTAACAAATCCCCCCCCCCCCCACAACATATATAGTGCCATGACATGCTTGGATTACATTATGGTTTGTTAAACAGGCAATAAGAAAAAAAAAAACCCTGAGGATTTCAAATGAGTGGATGTACATATTGTGTCAAAAAGCACAATCCACATTAAAGCAGGGCCTGTGAACCCAGTCTCTTTTTCCCCGAGGCTTCCCGGCATCACTTTGTATAATATGGTGGCCTATCAGGGATTAATGGGGCCTGAAGAGGGCAATGTTGATATTCATTTTGTATTATGAACTGAATCAAATCAGCTTTCTCTTTCCTCCTGCATATACATGCTTACAAATACATAATCTGCACCAGAGTGGCACATTGGTCTCCCCCTCAGTCAAAGGAACACTAATGAGATGTGTAGAACTTATGGGTTTTTTTTCTCCTCCTCCCCTTTCTTGTCCTCTATCCCACCACCCATTATTCTAGTAGAGCCTTCTTTTTATTTATTTATTTATGATGCACACGTGTTGATTGAAGTGGAGCCGAGCAGTGTCAGTTCTTTTCAGCTAGCCAGCTCCTTCCATCATTTAATTTATTGGCCTGTCAGAATCATATTTTTTAAAAAAATTCTCCCTTCCTTTTCCCCACTTTTTGGTGGGGGACAAGCCTTCTGAGCAGCCGAGCTGGAAAGGAAACTGCTAACATAAATCAGACTTATTTCTGAAATCTCTTGGTGTACGTCATCCTTTTTGTCTCCCTGATAGACAGCTCGTCCCCTGAGGAAGACTACAAGACAGCCTGCTTGCTCCTAGTCTTCATAGCTGTGTCTCTGCCACTCCTGATCTCGGATCCTTCCTCTATTTACCTTACTGAGATAGATGGTAAGAGACATTTATTTTTTTGTCAAGCATGTATTAGATAACAGATATCATCAAAACGTGATTATGATTACATGAAATGGGCACAAAGAAAAGGGGACGTTAGGACAAGGACGGTAGATATGTTTATGCGCTTATGCACGCCCCTTACAGACCTCTTAGGAATGGAGTGAGGTCAACAGTAGACAGTCTAAGGCAGGGGTGTCCAACCTTGGCAACTTTAAGACTTGTGGACTTCAACTCCCAGAATTCCTCAGCCAGCAAAGCTGGGAGTTGAAGTCCACAAGTCTTAAAGTTGCCAAGGTTGGACACCCCTGGTCTAAGGTTAAAGTTTTGGGGGTTTGAGGAAGAAACCACAGAAATGCCTGGAATGCACAGGTAGTGCATTCCAAGAATTGACAACTCTGTTGCTGAAGTCATATTTGCTGCAATTGAGTTTGGGGCAGTTTACCTAATACCAGCATGGAGCATCCTCTTCAAATGTCTGCTAATATACTTGTTTGCTGTCTTATCTGGTTTGTATGACACGTTGACTTGTACTGTATTTTGACTCAAGTTGCAGCAGGTTAACCACAATCTGTATCCTGACTTGGGGTAGCTTTCCTATGGCTACCATGTCTAAGATACAAAATCCAGGGAACCACCTTTTTGTTGCCATGTACTGGTTGCCTGGATTATAGCAGCCAAGTTGTGGAAGACTTAAGCTTGCTTTGCTTGCGTTTAATGATCAAATTTATATGGCTGCCCATTTCACAAGAAGTGACTTGCACTGTTGTGTGCAAAAAAATCCCCAGTAAAATGATAAACATCTCCAACACGGTTATGTGGAACAGAGGGAGGGGGGGGAGGAGGGGAGGAGGGATTCAGTCAGCAATATAGGATCTCAAGAGGTCACCCGTCCCCTAAGATTGCCAGACCTGATGAAGTCCAGAAAATAAGAAAGATGGATCTGTCCTCACTTCAGAGAGGAGAATATTCCATAAAATGGGTACCAGAGCAGAGAAGGCCCACTTCCTCAGGCTGCCAAGCATAATTCTTTGAGAAACAGGACCTGTGACACACCTCTCTTGTGAGCTCTAATGAGAAAAGCAACCATGGGATATTTAATATAATACTCAAAACACAGCCCAATGTGAGGACTGAATCTAGGTTGAGGTCAACATAATGGTTAAGCTTTGTCAACGCTCTGAGAATACAAGTATAGCTGCTCCTGCAGCTTCGTTTCTCCTCACCACACTTTGTTCCCTTTTCTTTCACCATAATTGCCAGCGGGATCTGATTCACATATAAGGAGCAGCTAGAACAAAAATAATGTTTGTAGATCTTGCCGTCTGAGAATCCCTAAAGTACTAATTCCTCTTCTGGTCGAACCAGACCTCTTGTTTGGAAGAAGTGATGGCCAGAGATGATGGATAAAGTGAGATTTCCCTTCCTTACCCCTGGCAATTATAGATAGCCCTCGACTTATGACTACAATTGAGCTCCAAATTTCTGTGGCTAAGGGAGACATTTGTTAAGTGAGTTTTGCCCCATTTTATGACCTTTCTTGCCACAGTTGTGAAGTGAATCACTGCAGGCATTCAATTAGGAATACAGTTGTTGAGTGAATCTGGTTTCCCCATTGACTTTGCTTGTCAGAAGGTCGCAAAAGGGGGGAATCACATGACCCTGAGACACTGCTACCATCATAAAGATGAAGCCGTTGCCAAGAGTCCGGATTTTAATCACGTGACAATGGGGATGCTGCAAAGGTCTTAAGTGTGAAACACAGTCATAAGTCACTCTTTTCAGTGGCGTTGTAACTTTGAACAATCACTAAATGAGCTGTTGTAAGTCAAAGACTACCTGTATTCTGTCCATAAACAGGATGAGGGGGATTGGAATCAGTCCTTGGGGCAATTCAGTGTCTCCATCTTTTTTCTAATATGTTAAAGGCTAAGCAAAGGAGGAGGCAGTGATGTCTCCAATTTGGATCCGAGCCTGGTGCCGAAGCCAATGAAGGACGCCAGGCACCAGGTGCAGGTTTTCTGATTGCCTTTTTATTGGAGTACTCCAAGGAAAAGGGCTCCTGGCCAAAATGCCAAGGAACAAGATTTAGAAAGCTTTATACATTTTCACTAAAGGAGAAGGTGGGACAAGGTGAGATAATAAGAAATATCATCTAATAAACATTTTAGTGATGATCTAACGATTTGTTCTATTGGTCTCTATCCATCCCTATTCCTTAGCCTTGGCTAAGGAATGCTCCAGGAGGTATCTAATACACATTCTCTTTGCTCCAGGCCATCTCTCTTCCTAACTTCTAGCTGAAGTCTGCAAGACGCCTAACTCTTTGTAACTTTTATCATTCATCATTTTTACTTTCTAACTACCCAGAATCGTTACAAGCTTTACACATGCACATTTCCTGTGGATAAGCAGTTTTTGTTCTTGCCAGACAGACTCCACAATTACAGGCTTCCTGGTTTGCTTTTAAGTCTGTGCCATGACCTGGCTTTATTTTAGCAGGCAGCCCATCATAAGTCTTGTTACCTGGGATCACCAGGGCTAAGCTTAGCATGAACAATATTGTGGCTGCAGGTAAAAAGACTTGCACTAAGAATCAATGTTAGGCAACGGTGGTCAGTGGGAGTTTTGGGCTATGTCCAGAATTTGATGCCCACTTGCCATAATATAATTTTTCTGATGGTGATTTCTAGCACAGGTCTAAAATTGCATTTCTTTTGTGTGTGAGGCCAAGTTAAGTCATCTTACGTCAACCCTCATTGGCTGTACCACGGAAGTCCATTGAATTAGGTCACTTTGGCTCAAGCAATTGTTAAAAGTTCTTAAAAGCTTCCTGAGGGTAGCAACAGTACAATTTTTGGCAGATGATATTGGCCAATCCCCTTGTTTAGCAAAAGCAGCCAAAGATCAGGATTGTAACTGCCTTGTGGAGACAGGGAAATTGGGTAACATCCTTGCATTGTTGGGAGCTTACTAATTGTTCTACACAGTACATAGGTGCCTCCTCAAATTTTAAAGTTCAGTCGACCAAGCAGAATATGGCTTTAATTTTGCAAAAGTACCTAGAATTCTTTCTGTAGTCTAAGAAGATCCCCCTCAAAACAGATGCAAATAACTTCTACAACCATACAGGTAGTCCTCAACAGTTCATTCAATTAGTGACCGAAGTTACAAAAGCACTGAAAAAAGTCACTTAGAACCATTTATCACACTTACAACCGTTGCAGCATCCCCCGTGGTCATGTGATTTACATATAGATGCTTGACAGTGTCCTATTTATGACAGTTGCAGTGTCCCAGGATCGTCATGTGATCACCTTTTGCAATCTTCTAACAAGCAAAGACAATGGGGGAAACCAGATTCACTTAACAACTTTATTACTAAGTGAACAACTTCAGTGATTCGCTTAACAAGCGTGGCAAGAAAAATGGTAAAATGGGGCTGTTAGGAGGTTTAGTTATATCCTCAGCCCCTGAAATATTGCCCCCCCCGTTAGTATTTTGGCTTAAGCCAAATAGCTTTAGCATGCCCAACTTCACTATACCATGGTCCACTATATTGATTGAATCCAACTGTTGCTATTTCTTTGCTGCAGGTTATAAAAACAATATCCACTGCCTTGCCAAAGCTATCATCCAGGTGTCGGCTGCCCTCTTCACCATCTACAACAAAAATATTGAGAGCCATCTCAAGGAATTTCTGGTTGTGAGTGCTCTTTCCTGCATGTGTTATTCCTCCATGGGTTTTCAAGACTCCCCAAGTCTCCTTTATTTCTCTAGATCAGTGCAACTGTTTGTAAACGTTAGGAGGGCCATAGCTTAGTGGAGAACAAAGGTCCCTAGATTGTAAACCATTTCCCTCTCCTGTTCTGTCCTCTCCCCTCCCCTCCCCTCTCTCCTCTCCTCCTCTCCTTTTTCTTTCTTTGTATTTTTTCCACATTACTTTCTTTTAAAATTTTAATTATTTTGTTTGTCAAAATTTGTCTTGTTTTTATTCTTTTAAGAATAACCCAAGGACTACCTTTTGCTGGAGCTTGATTTAAAAATCAATTTAAAAACATGTCTGTTGCATAACAAAATATTTTCACTGTTATTAATCTTTAAAAAACACTCTTGCATATCACCTTCTAAAACATTCGGAGCATGGCAATTCATTTTCACGAATGCTGTTTTGAATGATTTTTAAAAATCATTCTGGGAAAGAAGGACCCAAATGTTCTAGCAAACATACAGTAATGTATGACTAAAGATACTACATTTGTGCTGTGGGCCGTTCCCTTCTCTTGCACACAATGGTCGTTATCAGTGTCATTTTTATAAAAAGGCAATATCTGAATTGCTCCCTTTGTTCTCTCCTTGCATCCACTTTTGGTTTACTCTATGGAAAATTGGTGGTTGGTTTGTTTCTTTTTATTTTTACTGCTGTGAAAATGATTTGTTCACTGAGGAAATAATTTCTTTTTCATTTGCTGCAGAAAGATGGAGACAAATTATATTCGGTCAGATTTAAGGCTGATAATCTTGACTGCATTTTATAAAATATGTTCACTGCGACAAAAATTATGTATACATCTAATTTTTATGGTTAGGGAAAATATATATTGTCAATCAACTTCATTTGGTTTTTTTTAAGGAACTAGTATTTGAAATTGTATATATGCCTAGAATCATTCTTTCCTAGGTATATATTATAATATATTAATATATTACTATTGCAATATTAATATATTAGTATTGTGTGTCCAGTCATTGTGGCTGTTCAATAGTGCTTAGAACAGTACTGTATGTGAAAAACAAAAGTACTATAAATTATTTTCTCCTAGGCTAGCCAGGAGAAAAATTAAACTCCAAAAGGCATATACTTTTATTCGCCACCCGAAGATGTACCAAATGGTGTGCATGTGCAGGCTTTCAAGTTTCAATGTTTTCTTCATTAATCAAGGTGATAAAAATCCGGGGGACAAAAGGAGGGGGATTGAAGTGAAAGCTAGATCTACGCTGTGCACATTACGCCCAATTTGACTTTACCTTCTGCTCATTTTTCTTATTTGGAATCATCTTGCCTGATAAAGAATTCTTGAACACTTGAACATGTGCAACTAATTTGTAAGTGTTCAATTGCTGTCATAAAAATATTGCCTCAAGAGGAGTTTGGGCCTTTCTGGTGCCCATTATCTCCTGTACACAGCTGGCCATTTTCTTTTGGTCTTCCTTAAGCCCATATGTCTTTCTGATAAGAAACCTACATTAAGGTTCCGCTTCCTTCCCATCTGCGAAAGGAAGAAAATTCATGCAGGTCATTCTCAGAAACACTGCCTCTTGCAGACCCAACATTTGGGCTGCTATTTGGTAAAAGAAAACAAAGAATGGGGAGGTCTGACCCAGTGATCTTCTTGAGATTTTTCCAGTTGTCAGACTGGATACACATTTGCAAATTTGACATGGCTGTTTGCTACTCCTAATTCAGAGACCAGTTCCACAGTCTTGCGAATTCTCCTTAACCAAAGACATTTCTCCTTAGTAATATTTCAAGTGACTCACATCTTGCGCAACTATATCATCCCACACAAATGTTTAAAAAAAAGGTAAACTCACCGGCTATTAGTGATGGATAGAGGTGCCACTCAGCATGATGGCTTCCTTATTTCTGGCCTCCGGGAATCAGTATATCTGTTGATTAGATACCGTGGCAGGTTGCAGTTTCTGTCTGCCATCCTGTCAGGTGAAAAGGAGTCATGGAATTCAGGAAGGCAGTTGTGGGCAATCAGCTTTCTTATGCAGGCCCTGAGCTGGTATCCTGCAGGTAAACTTTGCTACTCTTTTTCACTAGGAGACTGCAATTCAACAGGGAGAGCACAAGTAGAGGAAAATTCTTCACCAGTTGTGCGTCTGTTATGAATCCCTTAAAACAACCCCCCCTCCTGCAGTGAGATATTATGCTTTTTTAATTATTTCAGGGTATGAGAAAAGATAAACCCTTGAAGAGGCTGCCCCAATCAAGCAGAAATGCATTATCCCAAAGGTGCTTTTTTAAAGAGGTCACTGGACTTTCTTCTTTTTCTTTTAAGATGTTTCACTTCTCATCCAAGAAGCTTCTTCAGCTCTGAGTGGGTGGTGGGGAATGGAAGGATTTATACTCCTTGCAGACAGCTGGTCATTTGCATTGTTTCCAGAGAGTCGTTCAGGCCACTTGGAGGTTTATCTGTGTCCTCGGGGTCACCTGAGTAGTGCAAATGGGCATGGAGCCTTCTTGGAACTGCTGAAAGGACTACAAATCTCATGTCTCTCCCCCTTTGTTGAGAGGGGGCTCTTCAATTTTGACATAGGGGGTCTCTTTGACCCCTCTTTCAAACCAGTGATCCTCTATTTCCAAAATGTACTGTCTTTACTGTCTTCAAAAGAGTGGCCTTTCTCTTTTAAATGCAGATGGACTGTTGAATCTTGTCCTGATGGGTTTGTTCTCCTATGTTGTGCCACTTCATAAATGCAAACCATCCAGTTAGAGCTTCTTGGATGAGAAGCGTCTTCAAAGCAAAACCAGAAAGTCCAGGTGCCTCTTGAAAAAAGCATCTTTGGGACAACCATAACCTGGATGAATTGAAAATCTCCATATTTAGAAGTGCATTAGTTTTTAACTGCATTATGCATTAGTTTTTAAATTTACATATCACACACAAAAAAGCGTTTTTATGGGGGTTCTGAAAAGAAGATGAATGAGGGTTTTTTTTTTCTGCAGAATTTACAGTGTTTTTAAATGTTCTTTGTTTAAAGGAAAGTGATTTTCCTTATTTTAATCACACCTGTGAAAAATGTGCATGCATTGATCCTTTTAAGCTAATTAAAAAGAAAAAAAGGGCACATGCCTTGACCTTCCTGAGCTGAAGAGTTTGCTGATTGCCAAATACAGTAGCCCTTGACTTACGACCACAATTGAGCTCAAAATTTATGTTGCTGAGTGAGACACTTGTTAGGTTAATTTTGCCCCATTTTACAACTCTTCTTGCCACTGCTGCTAAGTGGATCACTGTAGTTGTTAGGTCAGTAACCCAGTTTTTTAAAGTGAATCTGGTCTCCCCGTTGACTTTGCTTGTCAGCAGCTTGTCAAAATGATCATATGACCGTTATAAATATGAGTCAGTTGCTAAGTATCTGAATTCTGATTACATGACCACGAGGATGCTGCATCAGTCGTAAGAGTTGAAACATGGTAACTCGCTTTTTTCAGTGCTGTTGTAAGTTTGAACGGTCACTAAACAAACTAAACGTAAGTCGAGGACTACCTGTATGGTTTGGAAACGCAGCCTGGTTCAGTATTTAACAACTGACCTGGGTAAGCAACCCAGAATGCAAGAAAGCAAGCGAAAGGACTGACAGAGGCAAATCAGATTGCTCCATTCCTTCTTCACTGATCAACTTTGTTTCAGTGCTAGTAAGTGTCTTCCCTACTGACCAGAATGGAAATATAGCAATGGAGAAAAGGGATTTGTTTCGGCATCAGCCTACTTAGTAAAAGTCCACTTAGTTCATTATCTCAAGTGTAGGCAGTAAGGCAGATGACCTTGTCAAGAGATATGCAGAAACTGTTGCCTAGGCAAAAGAGGCTGAGGCATTTTAAAGTCCAAAGCAATGAGATTACTTTTGGAAATAGCTCAGGCAGGAACATCTCTCGATTTTCTGGATTATAAGAAGGAAGAGGTCCAGCACAATCATACTTGCAAGTTTCTCCCCTTGGAGCTGATGTTAACTAAAATAGTTTTAGCCTTCCAGGGAATTGGTTCTTTGACCAGGCCTGCTTAGTGGGTAGAGCAAAGTCTGAGCTTGATGGGTTTGGTTAATGCTGTGTGATAGACTACAAAGGCTCTAAGCTGGTCGGGGAAGTTGGAAAAAATATCCAAGAAGGAAGCAGCAGTCAATTTCCATGTTTTGCCTGAATTCAACTCAATTTGAAAGATTGGGGGCGGGGAGATGGGACAGGCAATCTTTTCTAGATGGAGGCTAGGGTGGGGGTTGCTGTTAAACGAGTAAGAATTGGTTTTATCCCATTGGTAGGCTCTTTGAATGTTTCCAGGAGGGGAAAAAATAAAATTAGGCTGTTAGTAACCAGGCTGGATTTCGTAACACACCCTTGGACTCGAAATGCTTCCTTTCATTCTTACTTGACGGAAATGCCAAGGTTCCAACTTAATGAGCCCAACCAGTTCATCACTCCGAGACTCTCAGCTTTCTGAAAGAACCATTTTATTGAGTACATCATTTCAGCCTGAATGAAAATGAAACCAGCCCTAAATACTGTATTTCCCGCCGTTTCACTATAGTTAAAGAATAGATAATTCCCTTCCTCGTGGCCACATTGTTCAAATAGATGTCCTGACATCTCCTTTGGCAACTCCCCTCAGTCTCTGGCCAGCACCTGTTGAGATGACCTTGGTTCCCACGGGATGGTCTGTTGTTGTCATCTGGGCTGACATTCAACCCTCCCCCACCATGTGGCAATCTGAGAAACGGGAAAAATGGCTGTGGCAGGCCTGATCCATTTTGTAGTTGATAGGGAGACTAGACAGGCTTGAAATTGACTGTCCTTGTTGCTAATCTTATCCTTCATCTCTTTCCTACTAGTCACCTGACTTGCTTCCAAAGTAATGGGGATAAATTTTAATGGATTTTACCATCCTTGGTGCCAGGAAAAACAAAGTGGGGGGGGAAATACTATTTTTATTTAAGGGTAACTCATGGGCACAGGATGACATGATGGTAATATAGTGTGGAAAAATGTTTTGTGGGTGTAATCCTATTGATGCAAGTTGGGAAAGGAAGATACCTTTCAGAATTTCTCTAGAAAAAAAAACGAAAAGTAAGTTATTCTGGAACCTAACTAAATCTTGTAATCATAAGATTAGCAGTACATCTTGCAGTCTTTACATGTGAGGAAGGCTTTAATGGGAAATGCGCATTTCAATTTATGTATGTATTAAATTTATAAAGCTACCCATCTCCCAAAAGGAACTCTCTCAATATAGTCAATTTTCTCAAATGTTAAAGGGAATTAATTTGAAATAATGGAAGACAGCCCTTACCTACAGAGAACTGCTAATACAATCCATGAAGTCAGTCTGACAAAGATTTTAGTTGCGTAAATGGGATCCTGGAATTCAAAACACGCACAGGGAGGCTCTTTGGAGAGAATATTATGTGTAAGAAAGCGAGCATTTGGCCTCTTGTTTGAATGTTGCTGGGCAGTCCTTCTGGCTTTCAAAGCTATTTGTAAAACCATGAAAAACAGCTAGTTAGGTAACTTTGGGCCAGTAACTCTCTCAGCCCAACTCACCTCACAAGGTTATCATTTGGAGAAAATAGGTGGAGGAAGGTGTGTTGGATATGTTTGCCAAGTTGAGTTATGTGTAAAAATAAAGGCAGAATATAAACAAACAAACAAACAAATAAACACTAGCAGGTTTAGCATTGGCAGAGGGAAAATGTTTCACAGAGCCCAGGATAGGGATAATATGAGAGACTTTCCTGCCTTTCCCATGGAGGTTTGTCCTTTCTAGGAGAGGAAGAGAAATGGATCTTATCTTCTTCCCCAGGAGAAACAAAAGCAGTTTGGGAAGAGTAACGCTGAGGAGAAAGAACGCTTATCTAGGAAGCCGTAGTGCAAGGGTCTTCAAACTTGGCAAGTTTAAGACTTGTGGACTTCAACTCCCAGAATTCCTGAGCTAACATGACTGGAGGAGGAATTCTGGGAGTTGGTCCACAAGTCTTAAAGCTGTCAAGTTTGAAGACCCTGTCCTAGTGGCTTTCAGAGCATTTGAGCTGTAGATAATAGATATAAAACCATGGACCTGAAGTTGAGCTCAAGGGAGCAATTGAATTTGTTGCTGCTGTACTGTCCTTCCTGCTACCCAGCAATATTCCTGCTTAAGCTGTTTAATTCTGTCATTGAACTAAGCCACTACCCAAGATTGATAGTTCTGGGAGACTTTGCTTGTCTTCATGGGACAGAATTTGATGCAGCTCAAATTCCACATGGACCTGACCCAGGGAACTGAGGACTTAATACACACCAGTGGTCACATGGCATATGTGGGGCAACTGTGACATGATCTGAAGTTTGAAAACATCATCATCAGAAATACTAAATTTCTACTTATAGATGTAATAACAGAAAGCCTGACAGCATTTCCTCTTCCTCATCTTATATCAAAGAGTGCCAAGCTCAGATAATCTTGAGGTTCTTTCTCATGCATTCCTGTTTTCCTCCTCATATTTTACTAACAGTTGCTGAATATGTCCTTCAACACTATCTTTGTGCTGTTCCATAGCATCTGATGGAAAAAGTCACTTGGTTCTAGCCTGAGTTAGATTCCAGCTGGACAGGTCCTGACAAACTGGCCAAGATACAATCTTGTCCTGTTAATGAAGAATTGTTCATTCTGGGATTCTTGAGGAATTGGAAATGATCTTCATGATTGTTAATCCAATTACATGCTTATTAGATCCATGTTGCTTGTTTAAGGCTTCATAGGAGGTGACAAGTAGCTGGCTGCATGTGATGGTAAATTCACCCTTGAAAGAGAGGGCGGTTTTGCCGGCTTTGAAGGAGTCAGTGGCGTGCCTCGTCTTCAAGAAGCTGTCACTTGATCCAATAGGTTCTGGATAATTTTCATCCAATCTAGCATTCTGTTTTTGAGGAAGGTTGTTAAGAAAGGGGTCAGACCACAGCTTCAGAGGGCCCCTGAGGAGACAGATAATATGGACCATTTCAGTCAGTTTTCAGGCCAAGACACAGTACAGATATAGTGTGGAATCCCCTTGGTAGTAAAGTCAGGATGGGGATGATAACAATTGTCTTCATTCTTCTTGAACTCTTAGTCATGTATCAATCTTATCATTCTTCTGGACTAGAAGAATGGGAATGAGAGTTATGGTTCTGCTGTGATTGTCCTGCTTCCATTTGGTGTTGGCAAGTGGAGAAAAGTCCAGCCTGAGCCTGTGATTTGTAGGTTGCCTCAGGGCTCTATTCAACCTCTACATGAAATTGCTAGGTCAGGTCAAGAAATGACAGGAGGTCAGGCATCATCAGTATGCTGAAGGTCCACAGAAGCATGAGCAGTTAGAGGTGACTCTTGGTATGCCCATGTAACACTTCCACTACTCCAGCTGCATTAGTTATCAGTTAACTGCTGAATGCAACTCAGGATGCTTATTATCATTTATGAAACCATTCATGACCTGGTTATCTTCCTGGGACCAGCTTTGTCCTATCATTTCTGTATTTCTGTAAGCATACAAAATCCAACACAACAGGCGCAGATTATGTCTCACCCATTAAGCAATTTAATATGATGGGACATAGGAAACATACCTGCTCTTTGGAATGCTCAGACATTTAAATTCTTCCAACCCACACAAGCTTTTAAATTATCTCTGAAAACCTATTACATTTTCTCAAGCTCTGGGATAGGTTGGGGTATGCCCAGCTAATGTGCAGTATCTTTTTGGCTATGTGTCTGTTCCTCCACTACATTTACTTTTATGTTATTTCTTTTGTGTTTTAGGTACTGTGTCTATGTTTAATCTGTGTACCACCCAAAGACAGTGTTGAGTTAGACAGCTTTATAAATCTAAATTACAAATAAATAAAATGTCCACTTCAGACTGTGGTTTCCATCTGAAAATAAAAGACAAACTTTGTAGCTATGCTTGGTCCTTAAAACAGGGAGGTGGCTTATCTTTTGTTTAAGCATGAGTGCATTTTGTAGCCCACCAAAATAATTTCAATGTCTTGTTCTGTGAGGTCTAATAAGTGCCTCAAACTGACCAGTACTCTCTTTTGGAAAAGAGTTTAGACCTGCAGTTTACATTTTAATCGTTTCACTTAAACCTCATAGTTTTAGTTTTTGTTATCATGGGGAAACTGGCTCAAGTTCTGTTATCTTTCCTTTGTCTCCATAGCTGGCTTCTGCTAGCATCTCACAGGGTGGGCAAGAAGTTGACCGGATGAAAGCCAAGAACTGGGAGTCCATCTCATTGCTCCTGTACTTGGTGAGTGTCTTAAAGGTTAGGCTATTAGATGTGTGTTTCTTTTACATTGTGCTTCAAATAAATGAGAATCAGATTATATTGCTTTATCTTTTTTTCCCGAGGTAATATCTGGAGACAGAAATAAAAACTTCTAAGGTAGAAGTGAGTAACTTGTGACCTGCAAAATGTGTTCAACCATCTCCCAGCAATAAAAGCAATACAAACAGCGGTGAATGATGCTGTTTGAAGTGTAGTAGCTGGCAGGCCAGACAGTCCCTATCTCTGCTAAAAGCACAAGTTTGTAGAAACCAGGAGTAAAGTCTGATCCAACAGAATGGAATGGAGTGGAGTGGAATGGAATGGAATGGAATAGAATAGGTCATGTTAAATGTGCATTAATCAACATACATTAAAATGAAATTTCATTGCATTCAACTCTCAAAAGATAACCATTATGCATATATCCACAACACATATATGACACAGAGAAACACCACAGTCTAGTTCTGATGTATACATATACATGGCGAGAAAAACAAATCTTGTGAGTTTATCAGACGGATGGCATAGGGAACAAAGCTGTTACAGAATCTGGTAGTCCTGCTAGAAATACTTCGAAACCTCCTCCAGAGGGGAGCAACAGAACAGACCGTGAAGTGGATGCATGGGATCTCTAACAGCACTTCGGGCTCTAAGCACATAGCGCTTATAAGCAGTTTCTTGAATAACAGGAAGCAAACTTCCTATAATCATCTCAGCTGTCCTCACCACTCTCTGCATGGACCTTCTATTTGAGGCACTGCTGCCACCAAACCAAACAATGATGCAGTTAAACGCTCTCAATTGTGCCTCTGTAAAAAGTGACCAGGATAGAAGGAGAAAGTTGTGCTCTCCTCATTTGATGCAGGAAATTAAATGCTGGTTTGCACTTTTCACTAAAGATAATGTATGAAGAGACCAAGTCAGATTGTTAGTTATCTGCACCCCAGATACTTGACCATCTCCATAGCTGTAGCCTTGATACAAAGTGGAGCATGACTATGCTGGCTCTTTCTAAAATCTACAATGATTTCCTTTGTTTGGTTAACATTCAAAACCAGGTTATTTATTTTATTAATAACTAACATTATTCTAAGAAATATCATCAAATTCACCATGGATTGTTTATTTTTCCTCTTCCTTTCCTTTTGTAACTTGCCTGTGAAAGTGTCGTCTTTCTGGAACTCTTAGAAAAGCTGTGAAACTTTTAGAGGACATTAATAATCATGAAAAATATTGTTGAGAAATGTCTGTGCTGATCAGATCACTTTCTAGGCTCTTCCTTTGCTTGCTGGTGGCACCCACATTGAAAGCTAGCATGGTAATATGCATGCTCCAAATTTAAGGACCAGAGGACTGCCGATTAACTGGTTGATTAATTTTGTGCCATCAAGTTGTTTTCGACTTTCAACTTTCAACTTTCTTCCTTTAGTAATCTCTGAGGAAAGATACAAGAACTTCTTGATCCATGAAAGACTCTGCTCATTTGGGAATGTTATATTAAAAAAGCTAGTCCATATTCTAATCTCTCCTTTATAGGGTTATTCGCTGAATCTAGATAACAGCCTCCTAATACAAAACATCCCATTTGTATTCAATATATTATATGTACATTATCTACTTGAAGATAAAGATTTTAATATGGCAGGGGAAGAAGCCTAATTTTGTTTGGCAGCCTGCCAGATACTGCTGCTTTCAGGAGGATCATAAATCAAGACAGATAAGAATTATTGCTTTATGTATTGTTTTCATGGACGTTTAAATAATTGACATTGGCCTGTAACAGTAATAAAGAGACAGATTGTCTGGCTGATAAATCTGGTTATACCTTAAATGTTTTAATAATTTAGCAGTGTGTTAGTATAGCATTTTGGCATTTCAGTAGTTTGGTATATTAGGATTTTAGTATTTCATTTGTTTAGTAATTTAGTCTTAAGAATTTTAGAGAGTTTTTTCTTTGATTCTTTTTTCCTAATATTTTAGATAATTTTATGAATTTGATATTTGATATTGTTCTGTGTTAAACTGCATTATTGATTTAGAGAGGTCTTTAAGTGTTGTAGCTCTTTATGAACTGTACAGTCTTGATCAGCGGCCATAAAATGAGTGATGAATAAAAGTCATTGTACTTGGGAAAACCTACTTTGGAAAGAAATTTGAAGGAGAGTCCCCTAGGCCATTGGGTATAGCTGAATTCGGTCACCATAAAGAGATGCACAAAGTGCACTTGTCTTTGACTTATGACCTTAACTGAGCCTACAGTCCTAAATAATAATGGTTATAAACTGGATCATCACATGACCCGATCCAATTTTATGACTTTTTTTGCAGTGATTATTAAGTGAATGCTGTGGTTGTTCAGCAGATTTATTGTACACCATGGGTGGGTTCCCTGCACCCTCGGAAACTGGAAAAAAAAATCATAAATAACACACACATGACTGTGAGACTCTCCAAATGGCCATAAATTCAGGCCAATTGCTAAGTGCCAAAAAATGTGGTGGTGTGACTGAGTCCCATCCCCACTTGTTGGAACTTCAGAATTGGTCATAAGAACCTTTTGGCGTGGGGTGCGGTTTGTCGTAACTTTGAATGGTTGCTAAGCGACCAATCGTAAGTCAAGGACTATCTGTAATGAAAACTGTTGCACCACAGAGGGCTGCCCCATTTTTAAGAAAAGATTTACCATTGTCGTAAAGTAGCACAAAATCTGCGGCAAATAAGCCGAGCTACATGACATGACTTACGTTATGAGGAAATTGTTAGATGTCAGATCTTTTCGCTTACAAACAAGAGGAACTGGTCAATACTTAATGTGCATCTTTTGTCTTAGTTTTTTTTTGGGGGGGCGAGGGGGGTTGTACTAACATCTCCTCCAGGATAGGCAGCAGCAAAGAGTGACAATGATAGAGACCACAAATGTTACTCCTTCTTGGGCAAGTGGGCGGGTGGGGAATTACTGTTACTGGGCTGGATATCTTGAGTTGATAAAAAGAGCTGCCCTGGCTGGAAAAGATGACAAAGTGGTCCTTCTAGCAGCTCCGGTGATACATCTCCATTAGGGGCTCCCTCGGCAGCAGGAAATAGTTATTGATTTTCTTGCTGATGGGAGGAGATGGCTCAGCCAGGTGAGGCCCTGGCTTCCTGGGTGGGATTTGATATTCTTCACTGGCCACATAGCTTCTGCAGCAAAGCAATTTAAATGCAAATATTTCTCCCTGGAGTGTGTGAATGAGTTAGCCCAGCCTGGCATTCACTCATTATCCCAATTGGAGAAGAGGTATAGCTGCTTCATCAGCATCATCTTTGGCAGGGCCCCATTGCTACAGAAACTCCCGCTGATCATCAGATGTGCTGGACAGATCAACAGTATACTAATTTCTGTTGTGTCCATGGTGGAGAAAGAACACTGCAGACTCTATCACACCCAGCCAACATCAACAGCCAAAGAAATAGAATCTCATTCCCTAGATACTTTCAGAAAAAGATCAAATAGATATTTTATTTAAAAATACAACACACAAAACAGCCCTTGAAGCTGTGGAATTGTCATAGAAACAAGGAATCGAGAATACATTTCACAATCCGCCAAGACTGTAGAATTGACAAGAGGTTGCAGTTGTTTGAGATGGACTTTGTTTGGTGTCTGTAGTCCCAACAGATTTTGCAGTTCTGAAACAATATTTTTAACAGTGCCACATCTTCACCTCTCATAAAGCAAATGAATTTGCCTTCTTTAGGATACAAACTCTGAATGTGAATGTGATACGTATTTTGTTTACAAAGGATAACGTGGCTCTTTCTGGAGTCCAGAATAGAATCCGGATATTTTATCAGGCGGGATGCTTGATCCTAACCTGTTGGTCAGGTGACAGTCTTATAACCCAGTAAATTATTTTTCTGCTTATTTCTGGTTTTATGTATCTTTTTCAGCTTGTGGAAGAGTCATCCTTCTTGACCGTTGATATGCTGGAAACCTGCTTCCCTTATGTGCTGCTGCGAAATGCTTACCGTGAAATCTCCCGAAACTCACTTATGAATCGTCTCCCTGCACATTGAAAAGCCTTGCCTTCCGGCCATCCGTCCAGATTGCCAGCTCATCAATTAGAATATTTGGCAGGAGTGGATAGGAAGGATAATGGATACTTTGTCTCTTTGATCCTTCAACTTATTGTCTAAAGAGAACCAGCTTCTTGAGTGCTTAGCTAATATTTGATGGTCTTTGTTTTGGCCAGTATATTACTACTAGTCTAAATTGTATAACCATTTGATAGTTGCCATCAAAGTTTTCTGGGTATTTTATTGGTAGAATGAGCTATGTTTTACCAGTTGCAGCTTTTATGGCTTTTTAAAAATACCTGCTTGGATTGACAAGCCCCCAAATAAACCCCAAAATGTACATTCTAGGGAGAAAGAATAAGTGTAAATATTTTTCAACACGCATTAATTCTTTCAATTCAACAATTGTAAGCTTCTTAGTGTAGGCACCAATGTTGTAAAAAATATATTCTGCACATAAAGTTATAAATGAATGATTATAGTAATCACTCCTGGAAAAGAAACAGCCAACGATCTTGGAAAATTTAATCAGCCTGATTGTTTTTGTTGTTTTTACACTTGAAAACAATCATAGGAATTGTCAACAAGGAATAGGGAAGACATTCCTTATACTATCTACCCCTTATGTCCTTTCCAGTCAGAATAGCAATTGATGCACTGGTTTGAGATGGATGCTATAGCCCAAAGCATTAAGACTGAACTAATGATAGGGAATTATAAGTTAGGTTTATACTTGCTAAGCCATGGTTTCTTTAACAAACCATCATAGCTGAATCAGACAAAACTAAGAGCCTTGACAGAAGGATGATCCTTTAGTCATGCTTGATATCTTGGGATAATAATAAAATTGAATCCATCCTCAAATTTCTTCATCTCTTTCTTCTCCTGGCCTAATAACACCTAGAAAAGCACACAACTTGCCCCACATGATTCCAAGGATGAAGAAAGAACAATATTTATTCTGTATAACCTGAAAATTCATTGGAATGAACACACAAACACATATTTGGCAACCTTTTAGAAATTCCTATCTAACCTGAGAAACAGGATGACCACAGGTAGACAAAAACGAGTGGGAGGATAAGCAACTTCCAGTTTCATGCTGGCTTCCCCACTGACTTGTGGAAAGCTGGCAGGGAGTATAATAAATCACTCCTCCTCCTCCTCCTCCTCCTTGGCTGACCTATGGAACTTCATGCCACTTTGCTGAAAGGAGGGGGAACAGGGAGTTGTGGACCATAAAGAAAACGCCACTCCCTATGTCCATTCCAGCATGACCCCAAAGGATGCTTCTCTCCGGAGAGCAAGAGAACACCCCCTACTTCTTAGGCATCCCAGCTGAACCCTCATCCTTCTGTCCATGCCCACTGCCCCTAAGAGAATTCATATTTCAGCCTCTGTTCCAAAGCAGCCAATCGTTGTTCACTCATGGAGCCTTGTTGCCAGCCATTTGGATGCAGCAGTGGGAGCAGGAGCGATTTCCATCTTCCTGCTGGCTTCCCCACTGACTTTGCTTGTGGGAAGCTGGCAGGGAGCATTGAAAATGACTCCTTGGCTGACCAGTGAAATTGGTCCACCAGTCTGATTTTGGTAAGATATGTTGCTGAGGAGAGGGGAACAATGGAATGACCACACTATGGACAAAACAGCAGTGAGAATGACTTCTGATTTCCTGCTGGCTTCCCATTGACTTGTCCAAAGCAGCCAATTCCTGCTTGCCTGTTGGGCCTTGCCACCAGCTGATTGGATCCATATCCACAAAGTGTGGATATAGCCCTCCCATCTTCCCTTGTGCCATGCAGCCTATAGGTTTTTATGAAGCGTGATTGGAAGGCACGATGCCATTGATCTTTCACAAATTTCATTCACATGGGTATCCTAGTGTTCTTCTGTAAGCTTATTTGAGTTACCTTGGTTCAACAATTGTTGCCCTATACTTTCCAATACAGGCCCAAGAGTTTTAGTAGTATATAGATATATTGTATATAAATAATTCTTGTTTAAATTTTTTTATAAAGATTTTAAAAAATTGTAGAAACACAAAAAAATATAAAAAGAAATAAGTTATAAACAGTAAAAGAAAAGGTGAAGAATAACCAAAAAGCAAGAAAAAGATATCTAAATAAGCAACTTCTGATATTTGCAAACCTACAAACGTGCCAATTACCATCTCTTTCCTCTCATTTTGCATATCGTGGTTCCCTTCTTCCCATACACAAAACTTTTTAATCAATAAATCCCATTGGAATATATTTTTAAACAATTGTTTCAGTAATAAGTATATCATTACCCTCTATTGCTTAAGACTTTATTGTGTTCTTCCTGTGAACAATTTTGGGAATCCCTGGCAGAATCTGCTTCTGAGAAACACAACTTCGGAAAATCAGATGACTGAGAGCAGAGAAGTGGGGAGTAAAACGATGTTTAATTCTTCTGCCTGCAGGGAATTACCTTTTTCCAAGCTCTTTCTTCCTGCATATGGCAGAAGAGCTCTGTTTGTATTAGCCTTGTTCAAGTGTACACAAGAATAAAGTTTTATATTAGAAAGGTGAGTCAGAATGAGCCTCAGGCTTCCATGGCAATTTTGCATTGATGTCGGGAGGGGGACAGGGAGGGAAATATTCTACCTGTCTTATATATAACGTTATCCATTTTTAATATGTCCCACCACATAGTCACCTTCCTTGCCACCCCCACTCCACTCCCCCATCCCCAAGGTTTTTTAAAAAATGCAAGATTTTGGAAACGGGTCATCATTGCTCTCTGGTTTGTAAGTCCCAGCAGTGTGTAAGCCTGGCTTTTAGAAGGGCAAGAAAGAGAATGGCAGACTTTAAGTCAGTGGTGGTGAATCTATGACACGTGTCAAAGGTGATATGCCATGACATTTGAGGTGATATTTCAACATTCGCCAACACCTGGCTGAAGGCTAAATCTGTCTCTAGGCTCGTGTCTTGGTATGCATGTTTTAACAATGAAATAGACCGAGACAGGAAACCATTTTATTATAATTTATTCAGGACATGAAGGCAGCAGCTATTATCAAAAGTATAGCCTGTTCTTGTGCTATTTTGGAGATGGTGGAGGCCACACGAGAGTGGGGTATGCTCTTTCACAGCCTCTGGTCCCTCCAGACATCACATGAGGAGCCATGTCTTTGTGCATCCTTAGCAACCTCCCAAAATCACATAAGAGTGAAGTGTGCTTTTATGTGATTTTTGGAGGCTGCAGAGGCTTGGGAAGACCATTTTCTGAAAGTTTTAAGAATAAAGGCCTCATGTGACCCGGAACAGACTCCAGTAGGCCACAGGGCCTGTCTACAGGAAGGGAACATCGCCTGAAGTTAAGTGGTGCATGGCAGATACTGGGGAGCACTGAACTGCATGCCAATTTCACTGTTTCCCAAGGCTCACATTATGCCTTGTAAAATGGCGTGAGGCAGTCCTTTTGAGTGACAGCAGTGGCGCTGGACTAAAATCGAGGCCCAGGCCTCTTCTTCAGGCCCTGTCTTAGTGCTGCCACTGAATGCTCTTGTTCAGGATGGGCTAGAAGGGAGAGAATTGTTTCTCTTTTGTGTGTGTATGAATGAGTGTGAGACACGCCAACAGTTTAAAGTCAGACATTTACCACATCTGTGAACATGCTGAGTCCAAAAGCTTCACCATCATTGCTCCAAGTAGAAATCTATCATCCTCACCTAAAAAAAATAATAAATTGTCAGTCTAGAGTCTAGACCCTTAAGCATCCTCCCTTGAGTGCCTAAGATGCTCCAGTGTCTCTCGAAAGTTGCTACTGGATTTTTAGATGATGATTATGATACATTTGAAAGAAAAGAAAAACAGAAACATGCATACAAAGAGAAGTGTCTAAAAGGAAAAATAAACCTCAAAGTGGATAAGCAAGGAATTTACCACTAATAGAGTTAGGTTAATTTTTTCAATATTTCATTGATTAGTTTTAAATAATAAAATATACTATATATAATTTTAAATACTAAAAACCATTATTAAAATCTAAGTAATATATGAGTAGTAATAATCACAGTTACGAATCACACTAATTTCTAATTGAGCAATTGAATATTTTATCTTAAAAGAAACCCAAATATTGGATGTAATACTTGCCCATACATACAGTGACAATCAAACAATGATTTCTAAATGGACTTAAATTCTGTCCCATTTATTCCTGAAATGTCAAATTTTGGGCATTGAGATGAAATCCCAGCACTTAATTAACTATTCTTCTACAGAAGAAACTCTGTCTACCATCTAATAGGAAGCATAGACTCTCCTTGCAGCAGTTACTATGTAGAAAGATAATTGAACTTATTTTGTAAAAATTCTGTAATATATTATTTAAAAAATAACAGAATGGAAAAGAAATTCACTTGTTAAAATCTGTTTCATTCAATTATAAAACATTTTTCAAAGTTGTAATGTCAGGTTGTTATTTTTAATATGGCAGGAGGGGAAATTATCCAATGTCTGGGGACTATGCATTATTTACATAGAATATGAATTTAATTACATTTTCATTGTGACTCCACCTATATTTTGCACTGCCTCGTGCTGCTACTCTTCTCCATAACTAACCTGTTCAAAAGCTGAGGCCCCTCAGAACTGCTAGGAAAGAACCAGTTCCTCATGAAACTGACTTCATTGTTAAAAAATAAAACTTAACCAGAAGTTCTGAAAAGCCTATATTTTATACTTGGTCTGTCTGTCTGAAAAAGGATATAGTTTTAGTTGGAGAAAACAGAGATAAGAGTAACCAATATCTTCCCTAGGAAGATTGTTTTAACATGTTGGTGCTTTTGTAGTAGAAAAGCAGACTTGAGAAAAGGAGAGAAGAGAGTTTTATATACAAGAACATTTTATTTCTTTTTCAGTACTCCAGTACTTGAAAATGAACTCTTAAATGGTTAGGCAATCAGAGAAAAGCAAAGGCTTTTTTTAAATGGAATCATGTTTTACAGCTTTCTATGCCAAATATTTTGTGATAATTTCTAACATGTTTACATATATTTTTTAAACTGACAACTGTATAGTCTCCTAGCAGCTGCACATGAGAGCCGGCAGTATTACAAATATGTCTCTGATTCTTGTGTACTTGGAGCTACCGATCCTGATGGTGCCAGCCATCATCGTGGCCTTTTCTTTTTGGTGCTATTAGGAAAGTAGATCTATTCGGGATCAGACTGGATGGAAGTGATTGGCTTTATGGCCCTCTTTCCAATTTAATTTGGCTCCTAACCACCTAATTCAGCCAAAGAACAAACAGAGAGTACCCTGCTATGTTTCTGGGTGCAGTATATGAACATCTCTTTAATGTTCCTTGTAAGGCTCCTTTTAGTATCTTTCTGGCAATGGAAGGAAAACAGAACATAAACCTCCATGTCCTTTAAAACTCTGAATTCACAGAAGAACAACTAGAAATAGACAAGCCTGAAAATATGAGGTAAAAACTCAGACACAGAATAATTTTTTTTCAACAGTCCTTGATTCAAAGAGAAAAGAGATTCCACCCCATAAAGAAACTTTTATGCCTTCTCTTCCAATCTAATCACATCCAGCAGTCAAAATGGAGTTATACTTTTAGGTGTTAGCAGCCATATTCCAATAGTTCAGAATAGCCAAGGACAAGCCATTATATATGAGTTGTAAACCTGTCTACTTAAGGCAGACTAATTTCTGTGGGGGAAAACATCCAGGAAATCCAAAAGAAACAGGGCTGACACAGAGAAACGATAGCAGAACTCTCCTGGGCGTATGGATCAGAACAGGAGGTTAGTCTAATATGGGAATCATCAGGCTTAAAGGTACATTTGTAGATTGCAAATAATCCTGAGAGCCATGCACCATCATGCTAAATAAAAGCTAGGTGCTGAAAAGAGCA